CAATATAAAAATCTTTGTCATAATCATGTCTTGTGGTTATTTGACAGGAGTTTTACTTTTAAATAGTAAGTGTATTTAATTTAGTTATGTTAGTTATGATAGTTTAGTTATGATGTGAATACAATACAAATTAAACCAAGATTTAGATTAGAATAATTATCATTTTGATCCACACATTGGTAATGTCTGACTGGGCCTCGTGTCACTTTATGTTCAACAAATTGGGCCCCGAGGTCAAAAAGGTTTAAAGGGTATTATTCAATGTTTTTCAATAAAATAAGATTGGAACACTGAAGGTGTATTGTAACCTAATAACACCTGACAGTGTCAGTTATTTAAAAAAATCACAATTGGCAAAAATCAGAATCGGCAGGTCAGACTTTTTAAAGATCAGGGATCGGACAGAAATCTTTAATCGGTGCACCCCTAACATTTATATAACAAAACCATTTCAAATAAAACGAATACTTTGTTGGCTGTTTGTTATTAAAAGAGGTTCATCTCAGTAGAAGTCACRGGACCATATTTCAACGTTAACATTTTCACGGCACGAGTCCAAACACCACACTTCTCCCACGTTGTTGCAAGGGTTAGTTCATGCAAGATTTCATTATTAAGTTGTATCATCTTTTGCTGCGCATTGCAATGAACTCAAATACGTTTTAAACTTAGGTTTACAGGATTATTATAAACCTGTAAATCTAAGTTTAAAACGTGTGTTTAATGTGTTTAAAGCACATCCCATGAACCTGCAAAGTCCTTACAGAAAGACCCCAAGCGCAGCATCTTTTTCCTGTGAGACAACCGTACAAACCACTGATCTACTGTGCTTGGTCTCCTATCAGCAGACAAGCTGAACTCTGGTCTTCAGTGTGTGTCTTAGATCAGCGTTAGGTCTGCAGGATCAGGAGGCTCTCTATTTACCTGGCATTAAGCCCAACTGCCAGACTTTCATGGGTCCTCCCACAACACCTGGTCAATGCAAGGATCAGCCAAGGTCTTACGAGTGACCTGTGAACTGGGAGTAGTTGAACACAYGAGACTCTGACTCTGAACATGAGACTGGAAACACCTAGCCCTGTGAGGCTTCTGTTTAACTGGAGCTCATAGCTACTTCAGCAAATTCCTGATCTCTACTGGTTTTTAAGAAACCAGTTTAGACTCATAAGCTACTGGATAGATTCCTCAGGACATAATCATGGCATGTTGAATGGAACAAGCAAAGCAGACGCTTTCTCATTTTTTTAAAATTCAAAACACATTATTACTCCCAGCAGTAAGATTCAAATTTTACTTTTACAGTCATAAACTAATTGTTAAAGCTGTTATTTAATAGGATTGCTGTATTTTGCAGGTCCATCCCTCAGCTTTGCGTTGGTTCAGTCCAACTCATTGAGCACTGTAGCTGCTACCTTGCTATTCACAAGTTTGTGAAAGTGGTAATATAAATTTTMTTAAGCTGAGTTTATTGATCGGCTTAACGCAGGAAATCTTCACATTTCGCTCATAGTTTAATACATCTGGGCTGGAATAATTATCCCCTGAAATATACTTTTTATATATCTACATATCTACATGTGTGTGTGTGTGTGTGTGTGTGTGTGTGTGTGTGTGTGTGTGTGTGTGTGTGTGTGTGTGTGTGTGTGTGTGTGTG